TTTTTCATTGAATTTGGTTTCATCACTTTTTTGTTTTCTCTGAAGCAGAATATCACCTACAATTCTATATCATTCCCATACCATGAGCATGCACATATTTGCCCATGATCACATGACAGGTGTCAATTTACAAACTTGAAATTAGCCCAACAGAGTAGGATTCCTCTGCCAGCTGCAGGATTTGAACCAGCAACCTTCAAGCCACAGGCGCAGATCCTTAGCCACAGAGCGACTAGACGACTGGATTGTACTCATTCTGCATATTATATGAAATTGTATATTGTAAGAAATAGTGCATTACTACATTTAATATGTATAGATATTTGAAATCTTTCTCAGTTTTATTAATGTTGATACCTGGGGATGATGAAAACATTTATTTGGAATATAAAGCAATAATGTGAGAATGGCTTTGATGCAATCAGACACAGGGCAAATCTAAACATGTTAGCTGCAGAAACAATCTGAAAATGCATTATATACAGGAGTCAGTGAATATTGGAATCAAACCTTATATGAATTAGAAGGTTTGCAAAGAAACAATCAGCATTCCATATCACTTCATTTTTACTTTGGAGTATTTATTTAGTATTATGAATTTAATTAGGAAACTCAGAATATAGTTTGCACAGCATTGTAAATTACAATAATGCTTATAGGAAATCAGATACTATATTGTATATACACAAGATTTGACATATGCAGTCATTTCACAAAAATAAGGTGTTTAAGCACTTGAACATTTTTCATGCTCGGAGCATGGAAACACACATACACATTGCTGCCTTGACAGAAACAAAAGCTCCCCAAAATAATGCAAAACAAGAAGGCATTGGCACGATAAATGGTAGCTTGGTCGTCACCATCAACATGTGCTCATTTTAATACGGCATGGCACTGTACAATTGATGATCTTTTATGTCAGCCAACCACAAAAAGTAACAACCACTTTCACATATATTTTCACTTACACAATCAAGCTTCAGACAGATGAACAGACTTAGATATACTGTAGCTAAGATTTGCCAAGTGTAATGCTAAAGATGTTTCGAGTATGCGTCACCATGCATAAGCTGCAAAAGAACAGGTGAAGATTTAGACCATGCTGAAAAAAAAGGAAGGAAAAGAAACAACTTTTCAGCTGTGGAGTCTTCTTCAGGTGTATATACCTTTACTTGTTCAAGTGTAATGATGTGTGGCAAAAACAAAAAACTAGTTTAGAGACTTTGGTCGAAACAAATTTGACAAACACACAAATAGTCCCTTAAAAATCAAACTTACAATGTAAATTGAATGGCCTCCAATCAATGTACTCAAGAATGAAGCTGACTGTATGTGAACTTTTGCAGCAACCATGTAATTTTGAATATAATTGCTTTCAAACTTTTTTTTTCTTTGAATAATGATTCTTAGTTTTTTTGGTTTTGCATTTCACAGCTAAAGCAGTCACAGACCTCAATAACCATAGGAGCCCCTTAAATAATCAAACTGGAATATTTTTGCAGAGTGGCTGTGTAGAGGCATTGGCAAACCAGTTACAAAAATAGGTACATTAGATTACTTTCTTATGTGAAAAGCAGTAAACTCTGATTTTGAGCAGGAAAAACATGTTCACTGGGAATTCTCCCTTCTCTGTACACTAACAGTCTTCTCCCAAATTAGGGAATGGGAAAGCTAATTATTACTTAAAAGATAACCCGGTTCTGTCTCCTCTAAGTAGACTAATGTACTCCTAGTCCTACTGGTAAATATTTTATCATGTTGAATTTTTGATTATGTCAGTCTTACTTCTTTATTCCACCCAGATCTATATTGGAGTCAGTGAGGTAACGTCTTAATATTGCACTGATCCAATTCTAAATTTACAAGCTGATCAAATACCTATTCTTTACTTGCAGATAATGGAACAGCCACTTTCTAGAAAGGAAACATTAAGCTCATGTTCCTTATGGGACTGTTAATGTTGTGCACAGAGTTTATCTCAGATTCTGAAGCTTAAAACATCAGGGGAAAGATTATTATGTTAAGCAGCATGAAAAGAGTCTCACAGTTACTGCTCAGATGTGTTTTTGTTTCCTACATTACTCAACCTGCCTTTGAATTAACACTTGAAACTGACTTGGCAATAAAGCCCCTTCCTTTTGAATGCAATGGATTCACACTGTACGAGTGCCATGGACTCACAGGACAGCCATGGGCGGATGGGGCTGTTCTGTGACCCATGCTGCGTCTCAGGCCAGTGGGTCTCCTGGAGTGTCGCCCAGGTGCCAGGCCTGGTCATGTGCCTGTGCTGCAAACACAATGGGCAAAGTCCACACTTCACTGGGAACACGTCCAATGAGACCAGCTCATGTTATAAAAGAGTCACCCTTGTAAAGAAGGAGTGTATTTTCTCCTGTAGTTCCCAGCATACACTAGGTTTCCGTTCAACTCTTTTACTTTTAAGTGTTTATTTCTTAATATACCAAGAATGCATTGGTGTATTTTATCATTAGCATTTTTTGGTTCTGGTGAAAGTCCTTTTGATTGCTTAAAATCCCGTCATCTTGGAGTCTAGTAAAATAACAATGGCTTGACAATACTTGTACAGGATACCTACAACGTAAATTCATGGAACATAAGAACAGTTATAAAAACTTATTCAGCCCATCTAGTCCATTTACTAGCTGTAAATTGATTTGAGGATTTTATTCAGCAATTTTTTAAAGAAACCAGGGCATTGGCTTAAACAACATGGCTGGGTATCTTGTTCAACACCACCACAACCCTTTGGGTAAAGAAGGGTTCTTTTTCATTTTTGAAATGAACTTCCACGCAGTTTCCATTTGTGCATTTGTTCATTTATTTTTATACAGTGCTTGTATCAGGTCTCCTCATAATCTTCTCTGTGCAAGACTAAGTTCCAGAACAAAAGGGGGTGTGGAAAATGTTAATGTTAGAGCACAGCTCAAGCTCCTTAGAAACCACACTGAAAGAGAATTACAGAGCAAAGAAATACAAGCAGTTAATTCTTGCAGGAGATTAATTCATGTTCTTTTGTCCGAGTCTGAATTAAATATAAAGTCAGCTTTTAAATTCTCAGTTTACTCTTTCCTGACAAAACCTTAACTTTTCTCTAGCACTTGTACCCTGTCAACTGGACACAAATCAAATTGTCTACATTTACAGATTAATCGTGTGAAATACCATTGTAAACGTTTCCTATTTGTGCAGTCGTGAATTTGTGTGATATACCTCTGAAATCCTTGAGCAGTTTCGAGGTGGAGAGCTGGCTGCTGACAAAGTGCCAGAAATAACTAAGAACCATCTCACAAACAGGAAGTTGAATCACCACAGCAGAACCATGTTCCTGATATTGAAAACAACTTTGATACTATTCTCTTAGCGTGCAGTGTAGAAATGTTTGTGAGATTATCTGTTCTCTAAAGTATCTTTATTAATTTGAAATAAGGATTAAACTAGTTTGAAGCAATTAGTACAATTTGTCTCTTGTAAAGGAATTGTGGGTCTCATCTATGCTACATTCTGCTGTAATATATATGCTTTAATAATATTTTGAGGTACCGTATACCATTGAATATGTTTCAAAGTCCAAAACAGACAATGAGATAGCATTAGTTTGCAAGCTACATAATAGCATATACTGTATATTATGGACATAAACATTAATTAGCTCATAACTACAGTATTCAGAGAGTCTGAACCATCTAGGCACACGCCTAATGAAAATTCAAAGACTGGCCCAGAGGCCAGACAGCAGTCTTACGCTCATCAGTGTGACATAACTGACTGGAACCATTGAAATGGGTGCACATATGTGCGTCATTCAATGAAGACATTGGAGAGCTATGAAGTCTTTTAAAAGCATACAATCGCTGTTAATTATGGGAATTAATTTTAATTAGGTCTATGAGAAATAATGGCTGAAAATCATGGATTAAAAAAAAACACAATTACAAAGAACAAATTGATTCATCTCAATCATCCTTAACCTGTATTCCTGTTCTTTGAAGCGTTCCAACATATGCATATCTTTCATTCTCTTGCTTTTCTTACACTGGATATTGTGGTTATTTCAATGCTATGACACAGACTTCACTAAGTGTATAAGGAATTAGAGCATTCATATGTCGTAGTTGAAATTACATAATTGATTACGTGCACAATAATAACACAGGAACAAGTAATAGGTTTCTTCCATGCTGAAAAAAGGAGAAAGAAAACACAACGTTTCGGCCGCAGAGCCGTGGAGCCTTCTTTAGCTGATGCAGCTACCCACCTGAACTACAATAATAACACAGTTCAATTGAGCTAGCCTGGAGAAAGTATTTTAGTTTCCTAATTAGAATATTTTAAATAATATAATACGGTAAAAAGTGTATACCAGAGCTACAGTGGCTCACTGGGCCAGAGCTCAACCTGGTTTGGAACACATGACTCCCTCCTGGAGGAGATGCTGGTCCATTTAGGAAATACTGGGGTGGACTGGAGCAGCCTTCAGAAGTGTCCAGAACTATAACCCACAACTGTAATTTAACTATAAAAGATAACCATATAACTTATCTATGCTACACTATGCTACACCACCCCCGATATATGTCTGAGGGGAAAATTTCGAGATAGGAATGGCTGAATGAACTGTAGTTCTGGAGGTTAAAAAAAGTGTTTACACAATTTGTTCTTTGGTTAATTTCTGAATATGAACTAACAGGAACTGTAACATGGACTACATTTGCATTGGATGTTCTTTAGGTATAAAACACTACCTAAAGTATGCTTTTTACATTAAAAATAAGAGTTTTGAAAAGTGGGATATTATATTTTAAGATGAATTCAGCTGATTGGCTGGAGGAATTTCTTTCTGAGATTCTTGAAATATTTGACTTTCAGTCCCTCAGTATCGGTCCCACGGAGGTTTTCTCACATTTGTTCTATGTACACAGAAAATAGGCCCAGTGATAGATTCAAGTAATACAATTTAGTACAGTGAAAATAAATTCTCATTACAAAATCTGCAATTTAATAAAAAAGCAGGCATGTCGCCTGTGAATGTGCTCTGTACATATAATGGTTTCACTCATGTGACAATCATGTCTTTCTCCATTTAATAAAAATAAGACTTATCAATACAACACAATTACAATATCAACAGAACTGTGCTTTGTTTGAGGTTTGGTCATTAGTTAAACTTGAAGCAGAGCAGTCATGTTAAAGGGTAGTAGAGTAATGCTCTGTATTTCACTTCAGCTTTTTAACATAATGGACTACAGTTGTTATGCAAACAAGGAAACATGTGCTTCTTACAAAACCACTTGTAAAACTTCCATATGAGTAAACAACATATCTATTTCCCCTCACAATGAAGTTCTACACATTAACCTTATTGTGCGTTAACTTACAAAAGTCTATTATTAAAATGGACATTCACGTCAGTACAACTACAAATGTTGGCCTTGTAGGTCCATGTTAAATATTGACTGCTTTAACAGGATTTTGGATTGAAAACTGGTCAAAACATGGCTCTTTTTCTTCATTGTGACCTTGACTTTCCAGCCTACCTGGTGCTATCAACTGCTATTAAAATCTTGACAATCGAACAAAAAAAACAAAACAAATGAACAGCAGAGAATTTCTGCACATTAATGGTAAAGTGTATTGCAGTGTGATTTCTCAACAATCATTTTGCAGAAGCTTGTCTTGCCCTAAGCTAGATTACCATTTTTATCAAAATATTAAACAGTATTTCACAGACGTACATTACGGGATATGGGAACACTCAGCCAACAAGAATTAGTAAAACAATGAGTTTGATGCAAAATTCTAGAACATCTCATGTTTCAAAGGGAGAATTGACAAGTCAGGTCTGCTGTTCCCTTAAGTGATGAACTGAAGGTATTTCTCAACATTTTAATACTGAAATACATTAAGAAAGATTTAATAGCTTAACACAGTGATGTGATAATAACCAAACACTTTTATAGATTAATGGGAGTTTAGTAACAATTAGAATTAGAATTAAGATTAGGGTGTTAATAACCATCTTTAATATCATTAATAACATGTTAATTGACTGTTTATAGTCAGTAATAACAGACACCTAAACTAAGATTTAGAACAAATATGTCTCCGAGGTCATGTACATCAGTCATTTTTTAAATGTTCTTTTTATTACATCTGTCATCGTTGCTATAGGAGACACCATTGAGAACAAGCCTGGTATACTATTAACCGAAAGTCACAAAATGTGAAACATCTGATGTGCTGGCCTATTCCCATCTCCTTCGACAGGGCTTGCCATTCCTGTGGAGCATACTCTTCTGTGACATTTTGCAGGGATGGTTCAAAACAATGTCTAAGTCCACGTCATTAGCACAAGGAAACTGATGCCCACGGATCCATGGAAAACTGAAAAAGATGGTAACATCACTTCTTTATTTTACTAGTGTTGTGTTCAGCAAAAAAAAGCTGCATCTACTCCATCAATAGCAAAGAAAATCAAGAAAGTGACTCTGAATTTGAAGAAGGAATAGTGAATTAAAAAAAACAGTAAGAAATTAGTTACTAAAGAGGTGAAACAGAGTAGTAGCTAAATTTGCAAAGCACCAAAGAATAACATCACAGAAGTGAGTACCATCACTATGAAAAAGAGAATGCTCATAGCTGAGATCCCAGAAAAAATTATATATATATCATTATATATTATTATATATATAATGAATTATATATAATTTTAGATGTATGGATAAAGCCAGTAACTTAATAAAAGTGCTTATTATTTACTGTATGATGAATATTACCATGTAATGCAGTTTGATATTTTATATTCTAGGTTATTTTATATACATTATAAATGGATTGTTCAGCATCTAACCTTAATTTTTGCTAACAAGGGAAAGTTTAGTAACTTTAAAAAGTATACTTTCTTTCAGTTTCTCTCTGGTACGCTGAGAATAATTAGGTTCTTTCTGAGCATCTTTGGGGACTTTCCAGGTGGAATGTTCCCTCTTCTAATATAGCATTTAGTTCCTTTGAAAATCTTATCTCGAAAGAATCTTGAGGATGAACTCTTTTAAAGCATCGTGTAATTGCCCAAAACCATTTAAACCATGGAGAAAATCACCTAAAACAATGATTAAATAAAATTGTGAAACAGTTTTGACTGGCAAAATGAATATCTGTCATTCAATGAGACCATGATAGAGCACTTTTATCTTACTTTTCACATCATCTGACACCAAAAAAGATGAAACAACAATATAACCCAAAAGACAAAGAGGCTCTTTATCATTTCTGGAACACTGAAGCAAAAATTATGTAACACTTTATATTTGACAGTTTGGCAAAAGCACCTTAACTGTACATTAACAACATTTACACATTCCAAATATCTACGTTATGTCAAGGCTGAATGTGTATATCAGTTATAAATAGCCATCTCATCATGTACTGTATCTGCTACTTCCAATGAAGTGATATACAGCATACAGTACATTACGATTGTCTGCATTTCCTCATATTTATATAATGGGTGTCACATTCGTATAGTTTTTTTTTTGCTTTTAAGACTTCTTATTAGACCGTAATTCACCCCCCAGATAATTACCACCCTAGACTGCAAACCAATCCTGGTGGTCTCAAACACGCTTCTGCTCAGCTCCAGTTTGCCTCTTGTCGAAAAGAGGCCTATTCTGTAAGCTGTGCAGCCGTCACAACATTGGCAGATGGCTCATTTGTGCTCCAGGCCAAATTCATCACAATCAACACTCAGCCTGCCTGTCACAGCATCTCTCTCGCTCCTCCTGCACAGGATGTGCCCTTCCTGGTTCTGCAGGAATAATGGAATTAAACTGCTTGTCCTTCCTTCAAAAAATCCATTGAAACAGCAATGGGATGCAGATTTAATTGAAAGGAAATTACAATACATAATTATGCAGTATAACAATGGGTATTAGCCCTAAATAGCTTAATATCTCAGCTCTTAAATGAGCAGAGTCCTCCATTTTATGTGGAAAATACAGGGGCTACCCAAAAAATCCACAGTTTGTCATTCAGTCTTCATTCATATTTTATTTGAGTAGGGCCAGCTCTAGAGCATGTTTGAGATGAAAGGAAAGATTAGTGTAATGTCTCTCACTGCACACAAAATACTTTAAATCTATTTAAAGAGTTGACCAAACAGAAAACGTTCAAGAGGGAGTTACTTACAGTTGTGGAGAAAATAGTTGTGAAGGCTGTTGTCTAGTAATTCACACACAGATTAACTAAAGACCAGCCAATGACCAAAGACCAAAGACCATAAATTAATCATAAATCTGACCTACTAAGAGTTTTTTTTTTGTCTTTACTTTTTAATGAAAATTTCCCCCCTGTGGGAACACTGCTCGAGAAGCAGAATGCAAAAAATAAAAGGAGTGGTCATCTATGTTCGCTCTACATGGAATACCTCGTTATCCCAGAGCTGTATGGTGGAGGTTCATGTTATTCACAAGAATAACTCAACAAACAGAGGAGTGCCTGTATCAGTACAGTGCAAGTACAGTGAGGCATTCTAGATAAATCACAATCCGAAGAATGCCAGGCAATGCTTACTGGATGGAGACTCAAGTGCTGCCAGATTTACAATATCTCTGAGGCTGAGGAAGAAAAGAAAAACATTAAATGTCTTAAAAGCTTTCACAGAATCATTTGAAAAGGCTCTACTGTAACAAATCATTTGCTAGTCTTCCATGGTCTTACACACACAGAGAGGCTCTCACATTAGGACCCACAGGGTAACTCAAGAGGCAAAAGCATATGACGATGCTCTTGGACAACATTTCCCACTAACTTATCTCACATACCAACACAGCCTGAAGACACATGGCAGCACTGTACTCTTTTCACATGTTATTGCAGAAGCTTCAAGGTTCAGGGTCATATGAAATGTGCTGAATCCTTCCCTTTGCATGCAGGTACATTAACTATATTGAGGTTACAGAGCAGTTACACTTAATAAGCAGTATGAAGTTTTGATTACTTGTAATTACATATCCTATCATTAAATGTGTAATTGCATAAAGTGCTTTAATATACTGTATTTAGAAAAAACAGTTTGTCTTGATCACTTTGTCTCGCTGTAGATTTCACACTTCGTTAGGTCCATGTCTTAAAATAATTCTAAAAATACATATTACTGAATAACTAGTGTAATTTTAACAAATTACTGTTAACGTATTAAATGTATAATGTTTGAATGTATATGGCATAGTATAGTAAATTTAATTACTCATAGTTTGATGATCATAGGAGTTTTTCTAATTACAGTACATGTCATGAGTTTCTTCCGGAAAACTTTTGTTTCTACAGCAGTGTAGTATACGTATCTACATTCTGCAGGGTTTCTATAAAAGGTGCTTTTCTATTATTTACAGACATCAGGGTGACAGGAAATCTCAGTTCATATTTTCAATTCATAAAATTAATTCAATAACATGATAACTGAATGCAGTACAAGTCTTCTCACCTTTAACACCTTTGGTTGGGTATTTTTAAAACGTTAGAGTTTTTGCATCACAACATGATGTTGCTTTTTAAAAATGTAAAAAGGAAACAATGAACAAAATAAAATAATAATAATAAAAATAATAATAATAATAATTGCTTACACTTATGTAGTGCTTTTCTGGACACTCCACTCAAAGCGCTTTACAGGTCATGGGGACTCCCCTACACCACCACCAATGTGCAGCATCCACCTGGATGATGCGACGGCAGCCATAGTGCACCAGAACGCTCACCACACATCAGCTATCAGTGGGGAGGAGAGCAGAGTAATGAAGCCAATTCAGAGATGGGGATTATTAGGAGTCCATGATTGGTAAGGGCCAGTGGGAAATTTGGCCAGGATGCCGGGGTAACACCCCTACTCTTTTCGAGAAACGCCCTGGGATTTTTAATGACCCCAGAGAGTCAGGACCTCGGTTTTACGTCTCACCCGGACGGATAAAACACTTCTAATTCTCTACTATATCTGCAAACAAAAATGACATCACCATTTCCTGGTACACTGCTATTCGGTGTCAAGAGATTACAGTCTTGAGTGAATCACAGCGTTCGTTAACCCATTTCTTTCCCAGGAGACACCGACGTCGTTCAGGGTACCAGAATGATTTAAGCATGAGTCATTAGCTTTTTTCATGAACTTTTTTCTGTGCTTTTTTTGAAGTCAAGGACAACAGGAACAATGCAAGCTTTAAACATGCTTTAGTCATGCTACATGATCCTTAAACACCATATTCTATTTCACCCTCTGTGTGCTGAACCAACACATTTAAAATGCACCAATGCTTTTCACCGCATCATCCTGCTAAATAGACTGAGAATGCGAAGCAATCAGATTCCCCCAACAAATGAAGTGTTTGAAATAAACACTTAAAAAAAACAAAGCCCTGAGCTTTCAATAAAAAAGATATTAATACATACATACATTTATATACAGTATACTGTACATAAGATTTTTGTCTCCTGGCTTTTTAAAATTATTTTTAATGTTGAGGTATACTTTCATTTTTCATACCTGCATCTGTATTGGACTAGCTGGGACATCTCAGTCTTTTTGTTCCAAGATGAGGAAACTTGCTGGACATAGTTCACAGTAATTGTGAAGTTAAAATAGGTGAGCTGAAAGCTATAGACAATTAAAGGAAACTGATTTTATTCCTGAAACTGCTTATCTTTTAATGCAGTACAGTAGTAAACAATGAAATGATCTTCAGACAAATGGAATTGTGAAAAAAATCCACTTACATGTGGAGAAGAATGCAGTGCAAAATTTTCCAAAACAGAAAGCACAAAGAATATCATCCATTTAATGGAAAAGACAGAGTTGTGCTGTGCTTGATTCCCCTCATGCATTTTATCCATATTCATTGATGTTTCTTTAAAAAATAAGTTTATTGTATATGAAAACCTTATAAATCGAAAATAAGCAACAGAACATGAGAACTGGGACACAAGAATGGTTAAGAAACAAAGGAGGATTCTTAGCCTTCTTCTGTGATCATTAATATTTTAGTAGTGAGTGATGAATTTTATGTCTCCTGTCTAAGAGATGAGACACATGGTGACATCAGTGCCCTTAAGGGATTGACAAAGAAGCTTAAACACTTCTTTTAGACAAAGGGAAGAATTTTGTTTTTCTTATGAAAGAGAATATATAAAACAATGGAAAAGAAATCTTCCAGCATATTAAAGTTAATTAAATTAATTAACAAATTACACATTAGAAATGCATAACAAAATTAACTCTTCAATACTCTTTGTATATGAAGAATGTATGTCAGAGCAATCTGACTCTTTCTAGTAAAACTGAAATCAATATTAAGGGACAGATTGTGGAGTAGTATGAAAATTTTTATGAGCATGAC